CCACAACCTAATGCTTTCTTCCGTCACAACAGCCCTTGCTTTATTTATTGCTTATGCTTCTCGAACAAATACTTCAGGATGACGTTTCAAAAAGTTGCCACACCATCTTTGTCCTGGTTTTCCATTTTTAAATAGGTGTTGCTTATTTGAAGTATGAAGTATGCTTTCAACTGTTGAAATAAGGTGGGCTTTTTTGATTGGGAAACCACATTTAGCTAAATTGATGGCCCACTGTACAATTTTTTCTTCGCAATCGATGGTTAATAATGGCTCTGGTCCAGTTTTTCCCGAAATTTTTGGTATTTTCCCATGCAGGTGGTCCTGAATGGTACTTGGAACCCAAATTTCCTACACGCAGCCCTTATTTTCATTTTATTTTCCCTTATCTTATAAAGAGCCTGCTTTAATTATTATTAATTGGTCTTCTGAGTAATTATAAAATTTTCTCTTCTGTTTGACTTTCTGGGGTGTTTTTTTGGTCGTTTTTACTTTTGTTTTCCGAGTTTCCACTGGAAGAAAACGAAAAATGTTAAGCGGTCGAAAAGTAATCAGCCCTCTTTTCGTATACGAGTATGAAAAACACATGTATAGTCTTTCGCGCGGGCGAAAACGGGATAAGTTAATTAACCAACTCTTACGTATCCCAGTCCCAGATCGCGTGGGATTGCATGGGTAACTTTGTTATTATTAGAGATAGAGAATTGGTTAAATGAGCAATGTTTTGCAGTTTTGGATGCTTATTTAAAATTTACTTTTGGATATTCAAAATGTCGCATAGGTTCGACGTAAATTAAAAAAAACTAAAATTGCTCATTTCCTTGAATGTCTTATATCATCGAAAATATAAGAGATATAAAAAAAAGTTTTATATAAAAGTGACTGTCTTTGATACGCTTAATTTAGAATTGATGTCCAAAAAAAATTCAAGATGGCTACTTTTGAGGAACATTTACCAACTTCCTAAAGTTAAATGGGCGCTATATCGGATTTTTAGATTACTTGATAGATTTTTTAATTCTCTTTTCAACGAGCCATCATAACATAAGATTGAAAATAAGATACCGTTATATTAACGGTTTTTCTATTTTAATCAAGTAGGCTGTGACGAATAAGAAAAAACAAAACAAAATCTATTCGAGGCAACAAAACAATGAAAATAAGTACATCAGATGTTTAAAAAATCAGTGGCGCACTCATGAGAAGGGGGTTTGGGCATTACAACTCTCTCCAAAATTTTGTATAAGTAGGCCTAGAAAAATTTTGATTTTTATAACATCACTTATTGACTATCTTATTATCCACTTACATACCTACAAATTCTGGTATAACTACAAACTATCCCCTCGAAAGAATGTCATGCCATTATCCAGTTAAACACATTTCAAGACACTTTGCTTTATTTTACACAATGTATTACCATTGATGCATTGTCCCAGGTCACATTTTGTAGATCAGTAGGTGGTTTATCCGCAAGAATATCGAAACTAACAGTTTTACCAGTTCGAGTATATGGACAGATGAATCTTATCTTTCTAACTGCGGAGTGTTCAAATCGACATAATGAACACTATACTCGTCACAAGAAAACCTACATGTTGTAGTTTCACGCCGAGATCAAGTAATATTTTTTTTAAATTAATGTATTTTGTGGCATGTAATGTAATCTTCGTTGGATCTTTAACTTCTCACCATGATTTACAAATTCTCCAATAAACTTCCTTAAAGGATTTGTCTCGACAACATATGTTTCGAAGAAAGGGTTGGTTTATGCACCTACCAACAAGCTGGCTGCTCAGGTCACAATTCACGAATTATGACAGCACATTAAATTATAAAAGTAAGTACTTAATTAAAAAATAAGAGTAAAGTGGAAGTAGCTACCACTACAATAATAATAATCATCAATGGCAACACGTTGTCTAAACTAAACTGTCTTGAAGTGTGTTTCACTAATAATAGCCAGTATTTTAAACATCTGGTGTAATATTATTGTCATTGTTTTGTTGCCTCGAATAGATTTTGTTTTGTTTTTTTTTATTCGTCACAGACTACTTGATTAAAATAGAAAAACCGTTAATATAACGGGTATCTTATTTTCAATCTTATGTTATAATAGCTCGTTGAAAAGAGAATTTAAAAATCTATCAAGTAATCTAAAAATCCAATATGGCGCCCATTTAACATTAGAAAGTTGGTAAATGTTCCTCAAAAGTGGCCATCTTGAATTTTTTTTTTACATCAATTCTAAATTAACCGTATCAAAGACAGTCGCTTTTATATAAAACTTTTTTTTATATCTCTTATACTTTCGATGATATAAGACATTAAAGGAAATGACCAATTTTAGTTTTTTTGAATTTACGTCGAACCTATGCGACATTTTGAATTTCCATAAGAAAATTTTAAATAATCATCCAAAACTGCAAAACATTGCCCATTTAACCAGTTCTCTATCTTTAATAATAACAAAGTTACCCATGCAATCCCACGCGATCTGGGACACACTGTATATGTAATAAATTATGGAAAACAATTTAATACTAAATAAATAGTACACAATACAATAGATAGTGGTGCCATCGCCAAAATGGCTCATAAAATGCCGTTAGAACTAAGAAACAGAGTCGTTTTTCGATTTGGCCACTTAACTAATTGTAATAGGAAGATTGAATATTTGGTTGTCTTTAACGTAATATAGAACTTTTTATTATTTCGAAATATTCCCAAAAAATTACATTTCTTGTGGCACAGATTCACTCCCGGTGTTGGGGGGACTATGTGCCACTTTAGTTGTCGCTGTCGCTTTCACTGTCAGATTCTTCATAAACTCTTTGGAAAATATTTTTTTGATGAGATTTGTGAGGAATTTTAGGTTGTCGGCCGCCGTGATAGGTACTTTTCCCAGCAGGAACGTTGACTTTCTTCCTTTTTTTGTTGTTCTTGTAGATGTGATGGCCTGCCTCTTTGCATTAAGGTTTTCGATAAAGATGTCGCCGACTAATTCTTGGCGATTAATAGGGAATATGCCACATATACGAAAGCCAGATTTTAGATTCTGAAGCAGTATCTTCGTTTAGAACATCCATAAGATTTTTTAAAGGTCCCGGAAATTCTTCTTTGGGTACGGTCATGCAGCGGCTGTTTCAAACCTTTTCTTTCCACGCATTCAGGACTTTTCTCCACGTTATCTTTACTGATCTAAAATATGCAACATCTAATGGTTGCAGTATATGTGTCGCATTTGGCGGCAGAGCGATAAATGAAATATCATTTTCATTACACAGATCTATTATGTAATAAAGCCTCCACTCAAACTTAGGCCATCACAATCACCTCTCATAATATCATGGAAACAATACTAAGTAAGGTAGCTTTTATTAGACATACTCGTATGCAATACACCCACTAAACATTGAAAGTAACGCAAAGTTGAAAAAACGTTCTATTTATTACACAAAAAAAACTTCATTTTTTGAGGTATTATTTACTGCGGTTAGAAGTAGATGGGTTGCTTCAATTTCTACAACTTCAGGAAAGAGTTACATTTTCTCTGTACAATTAGCGTTCATTTTGGAAAATTAGAGTGACGTTTTAATAAAGTAGGTAAACATTACTTTGTGTGTAACTTCTACAAAAAGTTACGTATTTATGGTTTTGTTAACGTTTATTTAGAAAGTTGTTCTAATGTTTTATTAACGTAGGGTACAATACTTTGCATTATAACTTCCGGGGGGTTATATTTTTTCTCTTTGTATAACGTTGGTCCTCAACGCTAAGCTGACGTTTTAATAAAGTGATCTATGGTCATTACCCATAGGTAATTACACGCAGGGGCGGATTTAGGTTATTCGCGGCCCGGTGCTAATTGGTGTGAAGGGGCCCCCTCAGCTAATTAGGATTACGAATTTAAATCTTATGAGTGGTTTATGCATTAAAAAAGTACGAGAAGAAGTAAATGATTTCTTTATTATAAAACTAAATGTGCAAAATTTAAGACATAGAAAAGGAAAACGGTAAAGCCTTCTTTCGGTGTTTATTTCTAACAAAGGTTTTTATTATATCTTCAAAATTAATACTTCTTAACACATCGTGCTCAATCGAACAAATAGACAATGAAACCAATCTGGTTTCCCCCATTGAAGATCTTAATTCATTTTTTATAAAACTTAATTTTGTAAACGATCTTTCTGATTCGCAGTTTGTGATGGCAAGTGTTAAATATATTCTTAAAACTATATACATGTTTGGAAACACTGAAATCAAATCTTTTTCAACAATAATATCTAGCATATTTTTAGGGACTAAATTCTCGAAATTTGGGATAGTCAATAGGAAATTGCGGAAAAATACAATCTCTTCAACCAAAGCGATATCCAAGTCGTCCTTATACGTGTCCACAATCTTCCGAGCACATTGTCTTAATTCTTCTTCCTCAATATTTCGGAAATCACCAAAAAATCCGAAAAGACGAGATATGTCACTATATGCCTCACGTCGTTTATCAAGTTCGGAGACTAATGTGTCAATGGATACATAGAATGTATCTATTTTAAATTTTGTCGAACCTTCTAAATGTAACGACTGCCCATCTGGAAACTTTCTCTTCAAATCGGATCTTTTTTTTGAATATTGAAAATCGACGTGAGTACTAAGATTTTTGGTCTTTTCCTCAAAGCATTCAAAATTTTCTCGGTGTTTTTTTATGCTGGTTTGTAATCCTTGCAGTAGTTGTGTCCCAGTGTTTAAATCTAGGCCAGGTTTTTGGAGAGTATTGCTAACAGCCCCAAGTTGGTTTAAAACTGTGTTCCAAAATATGGTCATAAAAGCCGTTTCAAATTTCTCTAGGGTGTTGACTAAAGAAGAACTCTCCATTTTAGTTTCCTTTTTTTCATTTGGATCATCTCGAATAGCTGTAAGACTATCGTAGATTTCGTCGTAATTAGCTTCCAAAGCTTTTGTTGCATCTTCCCGGCATGACCATCTAGTGGACGAAAGTGATTTCAACGTAAATTTTTTTTATTTTCTTGCAACTTTCTTGTTAATACGTCCCACCGATGAGTTGAATTGGCGAAAAAAGCGTACAATTTTTGTAAAAACATGAAGTATCTTGATGCCTCTGTAGATGCCTCAACACTGCACTGGCCCACTAGATTTAGCGAATGCGCAGCACACGGAACATAAAATGCAAGATTGTTTCTGTTTCTAATTTCAGCTTGCAATCCCCTGTATTTCCCCGACATATTACTAGCATTGTCGTATGACTGGCCTCGACAATTTAAAATGTTTATGCCATGAGTATCGAGAAATTCTAGAATTACAGTACTCAAAGAACTTCCAGTGTGACTAAAAATGGGCAGAAATGTCAAAAAACGTTCATGCACTTTATTCGAAATGCAATACCTAATAATCACTGAAAGTTGATCAGTGTGCGATATGTCAGGTGTAGAATCCACGATTAAGGAATAATATTTGGCATTTTTTATTTCGCAAATAATTTTATTCTTGACTTCGCCACCAATGATTTCAATAAACTCCTCATATATTGTTTTCGATAGATAGGATACATGACCACTACCTTTGCCGCCATACCTTTCGATGTGCGTTTTGAGAAAGGGGTCAAACTCGGAAATCAGTTCTAGTATTCCTAAGAAATTTCCATTTCTACAATCGCCAAACTTTTCTACGTGACCACGAAACGATAAGCCCCTCTCAGCTATAAATTTAATGACGGTAACTATTCTTTCAAATACTTTTATCCAGTATTCACTTTCTTTGTTGAACTGATCGATTAAACTTTTGTCTATACGACAACTTAGATTCGTTCTATTTAAAAATAAAAACATACTATCACGATGTTCGATGCTATTTTCATGAGAAAGTGTGCTCTCTTCTGCTTTACCCCAATTTGAAAATCCCTGGTGAGCAAATGCACTCACACTCACACCTTTTACAGCAAATAACTTGCAAACAAAACAGTAGATGCTCCCAACAGAAGGCGAATACATGATCCATTTTCGGCGTACAGTTTCTCCGTTAATCATCTTTTTATGAAATAGTCTATTGGACAGTTTTCTATTTGGCGTTTTGAAACAACGTTTTGATGATTCATAAACGCCGTCATCATTTTGGAAATAATCAGAACCTTTTTCTACACATCTCGATCTAAATTCATCCGTTAAGTTTGTAGGCCATAATCCTGCATCATTGGAAATCCACAAACTAGAGGAAGATGACGTTGATTTAGGTTGCAATTCATTCTGGCTATCTTTTCGAAGATTCTCGTTTTCCTGCGACTGCGAGTCCAGTTCGTTTATTTCGCCAACGTTTAAGCCAACGTCATCAATTGTTTCCTTCCCTTCGTGATCTTGTAGAGATGCAATGTCCTCTGGAGTTTTAAAAAACATGGTCAATTTCGGCAATTTTTGAATGCTTTTTAGTTTTTCCTCTTTCGCCTGTAAAGATAAAACATTTGCAATAGCACGCGCGTATATAAATAAGCTGTGACTTGTGAGCAACTATAATAGTTATTTATGCAATGAGTGTATAAATAAGGCGTTTTATTGGTGAGTGAGATGTTTAGTCCACGAGCGCAGCGAGTGGACTAAATTCGAACGAACCAATAAATTGCCGATTTATACATGAATTGCATACAACGTTTTTTCGTTGGTAGGTAATTTTGAATTAAAACACAAGAAACTACAAACGAAGTTACGATTCACCAAATTAAAATTTTTGCCGTTGTTATAGCTTCCGAAAATGTCATGTTGACAGTTTTCCTTAGAAAGGTATGTATGAGTGTTGCTAACGATTAATGGTTGCTAACGTATAATGGTCGCTAACGATTAATGAGCTTCATTATTACACCCGTAACTAAGGAGTAACTTAGGTTTAAGGTTGTTATAAAGAGGTCAACGAAAAACTAATTTTTCTACTCATATTAAATAATAGGTAGAATACTGATGCGTTTTTAATTGAGAAAGTTATCTATTATTCAATATGTTTTCATTATTCAACTGTTGTCAGCCAATCGTATTCCGAGTCTGTCATTACTCTTCAGCTCACATTGTAGGGTTGCCTTGGAAACATATGTGTAGCAAAAATCAAGATCTCGGATCGCTGTCAAACATTAATGTCAATCAAACAAATTACGAGAAATCAGTTTTGTGAAAATTACGTGAAAATGGACAGTAGTGCAAGCATGATGAGCAGTGACGACGATATAATTCTAACTTCTCCGTATTTTACGTACATTGCTGATTTTGTCAATTGTTTGATGACATAATAAAACCATTATGCATAATGTTATTATTACTGTAATTATTGAATACAAGTAGAAAAAGTATAGTATTTAACTCGTGAGAAAGGCATTATTCACTCAGATAAATTACGCCACTCGTCTTCGACTCGTGGCGCAAATCTTATCTTCGTGAATAATTGCCAACTTTCTCACTCGTTGAATAATATACTATTAACGTAGTTTGTTTCATTTTTTTTTTGAGTTTCAGAGTTGGTAGGTATGTAATTAATAATTATGTTTAAACTTGAACATCATAATGACTACATTTCTACATAGACTTTATGAAACATACCTTTCCTGCAAAGTGAGACGCACTACGCAGACACACCACACTATCCGACCTTATTCAATATTCAGCATGAATTAAATTTACTCACCTTCCGCTTAGCGGCTCCGCTTTTATATTGCCTCAATGATGACATTATAAAACTAAAATCGCAATCACTAATAAACACGAACAATTACTTTTGACAGAGATGGAAAGAGGCGAAATAGCCACACGCGCACTTTAAGTAGGTACTTAGTTAGCTACCACAACACAATTCACAAATAATGTAATGAATAGTCAGGAATATTTTATTTTTCGTGATGGTGGTAAATATTACACGCTTGTCAACTTGCAAGTACGGTTAGTGGCAAGTCGGTTACTTTACTTTACAGAAGTCGAGTCGGAGACTACAGATCAAAAACAATAATTACTAGAGTAATATTTCGATAGGTATATGGCCTATGGGCTGTGCTGTGCGTACTGCGTAGCCGCGTGGGCACTAATACCTGTCTTGTCTCAGACTGAAGATTGCAACCCAAAACGAAATTGGCGAATTTTCTTGCTTAAGTAGGGTTTAAACTTTAAAGTTTAATATTTTCCAAGGTGTAGGTACGTTTGTGTAAAGTAGAATTCTAAGTAGTAGTCTAAAAATAAGAAGGCATCTATTGTTAATTGTTACCAAACACGTTCAACTTTCGGCGCTCTTTAATCTTTATGACTTTATACCTAGAATTAGAAAGGGCAAAGGACTCCCTTGAAAAAATACTTTTATTATTACACAGAAATTGTGAGTAATGGGTATATAAAGTACTTTACGCATACGACAGAGTGACAGACTAAAATCTAAAATACTATTACATATATTACGCACCAATGTACTTTTTTAAAGTAAGTAGCCTTAAATTTCCGCCTGTCGTAGAATCGAAAATAGATTCTTTTCGTCCTTATTGGCTATATTTATTTTTAAAAAAGGAGAGATTTGTGAATAGCAAAAGGGGCCCCTTAAATCGGGAGGCCCGGTGCTAAAGCACCTGTAGCCCCCCCCTAAATCCATCACTGATTACACGCATCACGTGGCCAGGTCATCAAGTGGTTTAGTTTTGCAGATGGCGACTAATGACAATTCTTCTGGTTTACGTTCCATTTGTCGTTCTTTTACCGATTTGAATTTTATATAAAAATATAAGTAGAAGTAAGTATATCTTTTGACATTTTAATAATATTATTGCCATGTATTTCAATCAGATGACTACATACAGCCTAATCGAATTTACTTGTAATGGCGAGAATTATGTGAGTGCAGTTCCAACATCGTGGATCAATATAACAAAAAACGAATGTAGATGGCCAAAAAAACAGGAACGGCAAGCGATTTGTTGTAAGGTAGAAAGTTAAGTTTTCGTTTTTGTGGCAAAAAATATTGTGAAACTGTGCTGTAAACTTTTCCTCAACAATTCTAGGGAAATGCGGCTGCAAGTGAACTTGTGAGACCATGAGGTGCTCATGCTTACGAAACAGCCTTCCCTGCACCCTACAGAGTTCTAACTGACAAGAACACTGTAAAAATCGCAGCCGAGTATATGCACAATGTACATGCTTATTATAAACATGACTGTCAGCGTTTTATTTTTAATGATTTTAACTAATTTTTTTCTACTCATATTAAATAATAGGTAGAATACTGATGCGTTTTAATTGAGAAAGTTATCTATTATTCAATATGTTTTCATTATTCAACTGTTGTCAGCCAATCGTATTTCGAGTTTGTCATTACTTTTCAGGTCACATTGTAGGGTTGCCTTGGAAACATGTCTGTAACAAAAATCAAGATCTCGGATCGCGATAAATTCAGTTGTCACATTAATGTCAATCAAACAAATTACGAGAAATCAGTGTTGTGAAAATTACGTATCTCAGAAACGCCACCTCAACTACGAAAATCGGTCAAAACCTTTGAATCTTGTCGGACGTTAAAGATATCATACAATTGGCCTTATATATGATAAATGAAACATGCTTCCCACACAGAAATTAGCTTTGGATATTATTTTTGTAATATTCACCGTCGGAAACCTCGTAAACGTCAACCCAAACGTAAAAATCGCTCTAAAAGCATATATTTCCTGAAATTTAAAAAAATGGCGCCATTTTCAATCCTAAGGGACGGAACTTCCGGCTCTGCGACTCAAATCACTCCAATAGGTCTAGGGAACATGTGCTCCAAGTGGCACAATTTTAATACGAAATGCCGAATAATACCAATATTTATCACGAGCCGCTCCCACTATTAGTTCGATAGATGATTGTTCTTCTTCAGAGGAAGTTTCCGCGGCAAACACTTTTTCCTGGATCCACTCGTAATTTTTTCCTCTTTTGTCGACTATTAAAGGTGGACTGTCCAGCTTCTCTTTGACTTCGTAATAAGTTCGTTAATGTATCGTTTACAACTTCGTGTATATTATTATCATTTCCTCATGGAAGTTTCTTTAACACTCGCTCTCCATTCAAAGGGAAAACACCAGTGGCCTCAAATCCATTGATTAGAATTCTTCTTATGGCATTCTCCTGAGCTTGGTTTTGATGTTTTGTCTGGACTGAATCCATTTTCTCTAGCGCCAATTTTATCAAAGCAGGAAACTGTTCCTTGGGTACAGTACCGTTGCGAGCGTTACCTAATTTCCATTGCGTTAAAATGCTACGCCAGGCTGTTTTCAAAGGCCTAAAAAAGGCAACGTCCAACGGTTGCAATAAATGAGTAACTGTTGGGTGGCAGGCACACAAACGAAATGTCATTTTCTTCACATTTCTTGATCACATTTACGTTTAAATGTGAGGCAAGATTGTTGCGCATGAGGCAAAATTGTTGACTCAAACCAAACGCTGAAAGTTTCCGAGTCGATCCAACCATGTTTCGTTCAAATCGATTCCAAATAGCTTTTAATAAAGACCTTCAAGTCCCGTTCTCCTAGTTGAAATCCCCAATCGGAGCATTTGAGAATTCCATTCACGAAAGCCCGTTCCTCGTCTGTATTGAAAACCGGCTTGCCTCCAGGCTTTAAAATGTGTTTCCCATGAAACTTATTATTTAGTGTTCCATAAGGAATTTCAAATTTCCTTGCGGCACCTCTGGCTAGCCGCAAAATGACTCGCAGTTTGGTGAGGTGACGCAGCGTGAGTCACGGTGAGATTTTGTGAACCTAATAAACAAATTCCACCGCGAATACAGGTCAGCAGTGTGACGTGACGCAGTCTTTGCCTAACGTGATCCTGCGGAACGCAGTGTCGATCCCGCAGTTTCTTGTAGTTATTCACGGTGAGTAGTGGTGAAAAATGGAAGAAAAATTAATTGAAGCCGTGCGGATTCGGCAAGTTTTGTACGATACCAGTCATGCAGACTATATGAGGACAAAACTAAAAACTGAAAAGTGGGAGGAAATCGCTAAAGAAATCGGAATGAAAAGTGGTAAGTTTATTTATTATAAAGTGTACATATCTCAATATTTCCCTCTAGCAACACTTTCCCTCTGCCAAGGTACCACTCCTGCGGAGTTGAAATAATTTGTATAATTTTCTCGAATCTGAAAAGCTTTCTGTGTACTTCGAGCATTGCTCGATTTCAAGGAGAGCAGCTGATCTTGCGGCATATCTTCGTTGTCTTCCTCTTCACTTTGACGTACTGAATATTTCCTTAAATAATTGTGCAATACACATGCTGTCTTAACAACATTAATCACGCTTTCTACTTTAATTTCAAAAGGTGTTCGGAAAACTTGAAAACGCGAGGCAAGTATACCAAAAGCGCATTCAACCGTTTGGCGTGCTCGCGATAGTCGGTAATTAAAGACCTTGTTTTCAAAATTATCAGTGACACTTCGTTTGGGATAAGGTCGCATTAAATTCTCAGATAATGGGAAGGCCTCATCTCCTACAAACACATATGGCATTGGGTTCAGAAGTGGAGGCAGTACACAGTAGGTGCCGGAAGATGTAGAGTATGATCCAGCAATTTCTTTGCCAAAACGCCTGTACTGAAAACATTTCCGTCACTAAATCTTCCTTGTGATCCTACATCAATGGTGATGAATTTATAATCGGAGTCGACGACAGCCATTAGCACAATAGAAAAAGTATGTTTATAATTAATATAAGAGGATCCACTTTTACCGGGCTTTTTAATGACCACATGTTTACCGTCAATGGTTCCAATGCAATGTGGGAATTGCCATTTTCTCTGAAAGGAATCTGCAACTGACTTCCACTGTTCTTCAGTTGGTTGTGGCAAATATATTGGTTGCATCAGCTTCCAAATTGCTTCAGATACCTCTCGCACAATGTTAGAAACTGTTCGATCACCCATTCTGTAGCTGTACGCCATACTTCTGTAGCTGTTTCCTGTTGCCAAGTATCTGAAAAGTAATAATGTGTTAAAAAAATTAAAAAGTTTGTTCATTTTTAAACTTTTCCCAGAGTTTATAAAGATGTAATTAATTCATTGTTGTAGGATCTGAAGCAAAGGCGTTGTGGGAAAAACTACGACATTCATTGAGAGATGCGATTCGAAGGCAACAAAAATGTTTCAAAAGTGGAGCAGCTGCAGAAACTATCAAAGAATGGAAATTTCAAAAACAGATGGGATTTCTGCAGCCTTATATGGTCAATAAATCAAGAGAAGGAAACCTCCGACAAGACGATGAAACTGAAAACCTATCACAAGATTTTGAATCCAATGTAGATGTTGCAGAGGTATATAATGAAAATTCACAACAAATGAACATACAGGACCAACCCGAAAATATGGAGGATGAATCCCAATCTCAGACACTTTCACAAACTGCTCCTACAATGTTATCTACAAAGCGGACGTTAATTGCAACCCCCAATTCAATTAAAAAAATGAAGAAAGATAATGTTACTACACTTTTTAAAGAAATAAGTATTGAGAAACGTGAGGAAAGAGCTAAAGCAAGAACGGAAGAGAGAAAAAATTTGGTACAGCAATTAAATCTTACACAAAATGATCCACTATTTCACTTTTTTTTGGCGATGTACCAATCTACTAAAAAAATGCCACCCTCATATCAACACATGGTTAAAAATGGTTTGTTCAACGAAGTTTCACAAGCGCAGGCCATGTTAATGGGTATTGGTTCTGCTGTCTACCAGCAGCCCAGCCCTGATCAGCAGCAGCTCTACTACCAGAATTTACATTCTCCTCCTGCAGCCACTCCATCCAGCAGCAGAGCATCATCAACTAGTTTCCATTCGGAACAGTCACTCTTAAGCACCCCTGAAATCTATCCGGAGAAAAACGATTACTCCACAAGTAGCAGTCGAGACGAGCTGATTAATTTGATCACTTCTTTTCCAGATAAATAATCTGATAAAAAAATTTAATAAAATAAAGTTACCTTAGAAATACACTTAGTTTCTCTTCCGTCCCGATGGGCCTTGTAGCGTTACATCCTTCTGCGTCAATTTCTTTTTTGATGATCTCATGCACTTCGATAAACTGGTCCCGGTTTAGCCGAAGATAATTTTTAAATTGTTCGTCGTTAAATTCTTTGGTCATAGCAAATTCTCCGTGACTTTTTCTTCTTTTTAAGTACAGACCTCTTGCTGCCTTTCTTTTGGTCATTTGGGAGATAAACAATACCAATTCGGATACGAGCTCATCTTCCGAATCAGATTCAGAACTGTCAAACGTAAGTGCCGTAGCTATTTCCATTGTGGGCCTGCAATCAACCGTTATTGCAAGAAGCAAACTGCGATCGTATTTGCGCGCGTTAGCAGTTAAACCCCCTCAAAATCTCACCGTGACTCACGCTGCGTCACCTCACCAAACTGCGAGTCATTTTGCGGCTAGCCTAATACTGAGACGACCTTCTGCCACTTCACTGAGTGCGCGGTCTATGGTTTCTTTAGGCAGGGCGAACGTTGAGACGCAGTTACGTGAAATGACACAGGGTGACTCACCACAGATTTCTGCAACCAAAGGACGTCTATACATCAGCGAATGTTCGGACGCAGCGTGACGTGTCGCAGTTTTGGTACGCCGTGAGTCTGCGATAGTCTGCGGTCTAATCACAAAATAGCAGTGACTTTTCCATTCTTCGTTTGTGTGTGTCGACAAAAAGGAAGATGGAGGAGAAGCTAATTGAAGCAGTTCGGTGTAGAAAGGTCTTGTATGACACAAGTGACGTTATTACATGAAGAGTAAATTGAAACAGCAATTATGGGAGGAAATTGCGATGGAGATTGTTCTTTTTCTTAAGTAACGACTTGTTGGCAATTTTTTCTTCAATAGAGTTGCATACGCTATTTCTTCCTCGGCAAACTCAGAATCAGATCCGAGTCTAACAAATTACATAGAATTACGTGACCAGCGTTTCATCTGTTCGCACGTACACGCGCAGGCAGTTCACTTCGCCCATGCGCGTCACTTCACCCTGCGTCACCACACGTCACACTGCGTCTCAACGTTCGCCCTGCCAAGCCAGAAACATATTTACCCGACGCGACGCAACGCAAGGCGATGCAACGCGACGTTACGAATTTCTGTCATCTGGATTTTCATAAGAGTGATCACACTTACGACATGGAACTCGACTTTACGCCAATCGACGCGATGCGATTCCAAATGTTTAGATTTTCGTCAAGCTGCATTGCGTTGCATAGCGTTGGCAGGTGTAAATCTGCACGCGCACACGTGCATCTTTTTTTCTTTTAGTTTAGTTTAACAATGGAAGCAGAGCTAATTGACCATGTGCGAGAGCATCCCTGTCTATATGACATAAAAAGCAAATTTTATAGAGATCAGGCAATAAGGCAGGAGGCCTGGGAGGATATCGCCAATATAATGAATGTAACAGGTAAGTTAATACAAATATTTATTTAAGTACACGTACAGTTAACGAGAAGTAAAGTAAAATTGCAAATATGCATGAAATTTGTCACGTGTCACATATTTTGTCTTCCTCGTCGTACGCGTTCCACTTGCCATGGAACACTTCCAGCTTCTGACATAAAATAATCTTTGAATTTGTCCCTAACGTACATAGCTTGTTGAGTATAATTTTGCCTTAATCGACCGAGATTATATAAACCAGATTCAGCCTGATTGAAGTGGTCATTTTCGGGCTCGAAGTCCCTATTATCACAAAGTAAATTATGTAGACAACATGAAGCTAGAACAATAGTATCCACCTTATCTGGTTGTACCTCCATGTAACGTAGAAAAATTCTCCATCTAGCGCTTAAAATCCCAAAAGCATTCTCTACCACTCTTCGAGCCCTGGATAATCGATAATTGAATATCTTATTAGCTTCATTACCTGCAATATTTTGTCTGCTATAAGGTCGAAGAAGGTAGTTTTTTAATGGAAATGCTTCATCTCCTACTATCACCAACGGTAATGCTTCTCCGCCTTCAACTAATGGCTTATCATGAGGTACGTTCATACTCTTGCTAGCTAATGATTTCCCAAGTTGAGAATTACTAAATATAACCCCATCACTATTTCGACCGTAAGAACCTACATCAATTGCAATAAACTTGTAGTTGGCATCTACCAGTGCAAGAAGGACAATAGAGTAGTTTCCCTTATAATTATAAAAATCCGATCCGCTATTTATGGGACATCGTATGTTGATGTGCTTCCCATCAAGGGCTCCTAAACAGTTGGGGAAGTTCCATATATTCTTATAGCCTTCTGTAATTGTACGCCAAGTTTCTTCAGTAGGAGGTGGCATTACTATAGGGCCCAGCATCTTTCCAATGACTTCGCAAACTTCATATATAATACTTCGTACTGTACTGAATCCCATTTTGTAGCTGAATCCGAGAGAACGAAATGAATTTCCTGTAGCCAAAAATCTGAAAATCAGATATACCAATTGTTAATGATGTTTCTTTTATGTTTTAGCGGATGCAGTGAAAGCTTTGTGGGTGAAGTTAAGAAACGCGTTTATAGCGGCGAAGAAAAGAAGAAAAACAAAAAGCGGTCAATCAGCAAGAAAGATTGCTGCTTGGAAGTATGAACAAGAAATGTCTTTTTTAATTCCTTTTTTGGAAATGAGAGAGACATCAAGCAACTTAGAAAAAGTAACCAATGTGGAAGAAGAGGAAGAAGAGAGCCTTGATCCTGAAGATACACTGGACTCTGAAGAGGTCTCTCACACCCAGGAGCATGAGGGTGGAGAGAACAAGACACCAACTCGCGTAACGCCAGTGAAGATGCGTAAGCATCAGAATCCTGCGCAAGAGATGGTGCAAATAATGAAAAGGAATGCCGAAATGCGAATCAAGCGGCATGAGAATGACATAAAACATGATGAGGTGGATATGTTTTACTTGAGCATGGCGAAAACTGTAAAACGTCTACCTCAATTGGAGCAGGCGAAGATTCGTATGGCATTATGTCAGTTGGTGTCAGAAGCGGAAATTAGGGGTCTACAAGGAATTCCGGAACGTTCCACTTCTTCCTCCTCCATGTCAACTTTCACTTCGTCGTCTGCTCCTAGTCCAAATGTGGATCAAAGCTCGTACACAGAACAAGTGCACTATTCAAATTATTTTGGGGACATGAACCAATACCATAATTTGTAAATAAATGTTGTAAATTTGTTATTAAACGTAACTTACCTTAAGCAAACAGCTAGTCTTTCTTTGGTTCCAATTGCGCGTCGAAATTTTGAGTCAATTTTTCTAATCTTGTCTTTGATTAAATCGTGGAGATAATTGAACTGATTCTTGCTCATACGAAAGTACATGTGGAATCGATCACTATTCTCTTCTTTTTCCAAAATCTTAATTAAGGTATGATATTCACCATCGTTTTCTCTATTCAAATTAATTTCGTGTACCCACACACTTCTTCTTTTACAATGCGCTTCTATGCACATAATAGCCACGCACGCTTCCTCAATTTCTTCTTCGTATTCATCGGAACTACCCAAATCCATCTTATGTCGTCTGTTACTTTTGATGAACTGGAGATGACTGTATGTATTTTATGGTAAGTGAAGTGGCGTTCCGTTGCGTGACGGCGCGTCGCATCGTTCAAATATGCACACACAGGAAAAATAACGAAAATATGGCGTAACGTCGCGTAGCGTTGCGTCGCTTCGCGTCACCTATATATGTTTCCGGCTTTAATGTAGTCGCACGGCGCACGCGAAAGGGCGTCGGCATGACTCATTTCCGTCCCGGCTCCATCTCGTATTCTTGTAATAGAGTCGCCCACCGTGCGACTTGCGGATTTTTGGTTTTGTTTGTGTTTAAGAAAACCAGACACTGGCAATCCGTATACACAATAAACGAAACGGCACGCTCAGCAAATACATTCGCAACCTTTCTACCGCCCACGCTATCGCCATCAGCTCGATTTTTGAACTGTGGTATTTGTTTTCTTCGAGATCGCATGGACCAAGTGCATATTCCCTTCACCGTCGGATTCTAATAATAAGGCACCCAACCCGGCTGCACTCCCGTCGCAATGCAATTCCGTACGCGCTGCTTTTGGATCAAACAATCTCGTCGTCCGTCGGCCGCGTTGTAAGCGCTTCCCGTAAATCGACAAACGCGTTTTCCTGATCGTCACTCCACTTAAATTCGGCTTTCGCTTTTACTAATTCACTTAAGGCTCGCCCGCGTTTGGCATAATTCGGCACAAACCTCCTAAAGTAACCGGTTAAATCCAAATAACTCCTCACTTCATTTACATTTCGTGGCCGCGGATATTCAGCGATCGCTCTAGTTTTCGCCGCACTAGGTTCAAGCCCGTTTTTACTAAGAATAAACCCCAAGTACTCTACTTTGTCCATACCGAAATTAGGAGAGGTAGGGGTAATGGCGTAATGCCGCCCACCTAAAGGTGCGTATTCACTTGAACAAAAACATTCCGAACGAACCAAACGTACCGCGCGCGCCGAACAAACAACACAAACGCCTCGTGCAATTTTTCATGACTTGCCGCGCAAAGTTCTGTTCAGTTTGTTCCCATGAAAAACCGTTAACAAATCCTGTCAAATCGAATACATTTAAACATGGATAACGTTATTGTAGCAGCAGGTGCATATATTATTTTAAGTGCGCTTTGTGACAATGAGCAACGCAAAAAAAACGTGCAAAAAGAGTGTGGTTAAGAAAATTGTTCCGTAATCGCGGAAGTAGGTCGGTTTTAAATGATTTAGATTCGCTACACAGAAAAAAATGTTAGTTTCTGTAACTAAAATTAATTATCTACGCCCTTATTTACTAAAACAAATAATATATTGGGTTATCAACGCAACGAGATCGTTTAGTTAAGTTAATTCAAGTATCCGTAGAATCTAAATTTCATTTCTGATTAAATATTGTTAAGCAAACTAAATTTTTTTTCTGTCCTAAATAAGTAAACTTACTAATTATGTTCTAACAAAGCACCTTTGCGACTGGAAGAAAATAGTTCGTTATACTTTGCAAAATATTTCTTCGTGCAAACAATACCTTCTTTATATCCAGATTAAATATCATGCATGTAGATAAGTAAGCACCTTATTTGCCTTAATCAAAATTTTCCCCACAAAGAATAATTGCTCTTTGGTTCTACAAAATATAATTTGCTGCATCTTCGAATATATTATGTAGGTGCATGATTCGCTGCGTCAGACCAACGAAAGAACTTGACTGTATAAAGATGAACTGCATTATTTGCTTTATTGCGTTCATCGTTGCAACTTTCAACTGACGCGGGCACATTTTGTTATAATTTAGGTACTTTTACTACCAGTTTTCTGTGAAGTGTGAATGTGACTTCAGACTTGTGAAAATGGAAGAAAAATTAAGAGAGTGGCAGATGGAAGAACTTCTGGAAGTGTTCAAAGGTGAGAAAGTTTTACGTTTATTAATGCAAGTACCACTTAGTACATAGTTGCGGGGGCGTCTCTCATTGTTGCACCATCATTTCACAATAGTTAGCAATTTTCAATTTCCAGTCCAGTTTCACTACCTTTGTTCTGTACATTCTATGGAAACACTTGTTGCGTATGGCACATGGCGCACATGCCACATAACCTTGCTGTTGAATTGAACATGAACAGGAGATGATGGTGAAAATGACTGGTTTTTTTTAAAGTTAGTAGTACCATTGAAAAAAAAACACTTTTCGATGGCAGTACGATGTAGTATGTCGCTGCGCTGGTGATTAAATGAACAAAAAAAATGTCATGGAGTACCAACAATGAGTTTTTTTGTTTTTTAATGTCAATGTAGTTAAGACTGAAAAATGTGAGATTACCTCTGAGGAGTTTAAAATGCATATATCCGTACCGCACAAGCATGTTTGATGCTTTCACCTGTTTTCAAAAGATTTAATTGCAGTTGTTTCTTTCAGATAATGCAATCACATTAGATATGCTGCCGGATTTAACAAATTCTCTTTTAAGGGTGTATTCCACTTAAATTTTAATTCTGTTTATTTATTTATTTATTTATGATGGGTTGCATAATATGAAATGGTAACGAATAAACAAAGATTGAAGAGTTTACCTGCCCAACCATTGCATAAAGTAAACAAGTAATTACGCTAATTTACCCAGGTCATTAGTAACTGTGACGAATATGCATATATAATTAAACATCGATTAGAAAACGCCAATCATTGTCACAACGGCTAATCCTGGATAATTTCACTTTTCCCAGTATAAGACGTATATATTTTTTTAACCCAGTAATTACTCCATGAATTGCGTATTGACCCTATCTGGAAAATAACGCATGTAAGCGAATAAGTACCTATAAATTAGATATCTTTAAAAAATGTGTTACAAAAAATCGTCCAATTCGGGAACAACACAAAATAAATGAGAACTAACGCTTTTTACGCAAATTATATCTCTTTCCGAAGGATGCTACATGGGAATAATCTCAAATTTTTATCACACTCAAATTTTAGGGATGTTACAAAACCTCATCTGGCGTTAGCAAAAGTACATCGTGATTCGTGCTTACAAACTATGGCTATAAATCTACAGAGTAAACGAGAGAAACCAAAATTCGCAAGTAATGGTTATTTATACGTGTTTGATAGATTAAGCGAAAAAGATGTGTCTATCGAATTCTGGAGATGCGAAAGGAAGAACGTGTGCAAAGGAAGAATTCATGTTCAAAACAATGAAATTATTAAAGAAATCCGCGGCCACAGCCACGATAGTGATGCAGCAAAAGTGGAATCTGATATCGCCGTATGTGCTGTAAAAGCAAGAGCTGTTAATACGATGGAACAACCCAGCCAAATCATAAACATATGTTCGTCTCAACTTACTCCAGCGGCACAAGGTATCATAATTAATAATACTTTTTATCTTCAACTGCATTCCTTTCTTAACTTAATTTGCCCATATAGTGATTACCTTTGTTCTGTTATAAACAACGTTAATACTGCCCTTTACAACTAAATATATACATATATATGAATTTCTACAGCTGTCGTTCCCAATCGAAATGCACTAAAGCAGCGGTTCTCAAACTTTTTTCAACGCGGAACCCTAACCCTACTTACGATTACGTCGCGGAGCCCTATGATTTTGATTCTTATTGAAGTGGAAAAAAATTTTACTCAAAGACGTATTATCTCTACTTTTTACAACAGTATATGTATATAGGTAGGTATATAAGAAAATCACGATTATGAGTGGGATGAATGATATTGTTTCTTTGTAGCGCATAGTTTCTTGATATCGAGTTTATACTGTGCAGACTACAATACAATGAAAATAAGTGACACCATCTACAACACGTCGTCATTCAACTCATACTGCTAACTACGTACACATGAAGAGGTTCAGACGGTTCATAAGTTGACGATGCGCTTGCGCTAATATTCCTCTCTCAGGCAACTGCCACCAGGAACAATATCGTTGCTCTTTTAATTGTTAGTTATTAACTTCAACATTCTATATATTTTAAAATATTGCAGTGAAGGTTTAGTCTTTAGTAGTTATTTTCTTCTACTTATTTTTAGTACCTACCTTATTTTTAAAATTTTATTGACACATGAATGGTTACGCGGAGCCCTGGGGCTCCGCGGAGCACACTTTGAGAACCGCTGCACTAAAGAAAGTTATTAGACGCAAACGAAATGAAATGAATATTGCTCCTCCAAATCCCGCAACAGTACAAGAACTCGTTTTTCCCGATGAATATAGATCTTATGGATTGCCTAATGGCGAACAAGAATTATTTCTACTAGCAGATACAGGACCAATTCAAAATCGCATTGTCATATTTGGGAGAGAACGTTCATTACGTGTAACTCTATTGTTTCGTACTCGATTTACTCAAACTTTTTTTGTTATATTTAATAATTGTTCCAGATCCTTAGTGAGTCAGATAAATGGTACGTAGATGGCACTTTCAAGTCAACACCACCGTTATTTCATCAGGTTTACGTGATATTGCCTGAAAGGTTTGGTGGTGTGATCGCTTTGCTCTATGCCCTTCTACCCAATAAACTTCAAATAACGTATGCGACGATGATAGATCTGATACAAAATATTAATCCGCAATTGGCATTCAACCCTACGTATATATCCTGTGACTACGAGCTGTCAGCAATAAATGCATTTAAAAATGCGTTTCCAGGCGTTACAATGCATGGCTGTTTTTTTCATTTGACGAAAAACTTGAAAAAACATCTATCGATTTTGGGACTGTTACATCGCTACAACACCGATGCCGAATTTGCGGTGATGGCTAGAATGGTTAGTTCATTGGCGTTTGTTCCCATAAACGATTTGGACGAAGCTGTTGACGCGTTGGGTGAAGCTTTGCCAGTAGAACTTCAACCTCTTCTGCAATGGTTAGAAGACAATTACATCGGGCGTCCGAACCGAAGAGGAAATGGTAGAAGGCTAGCAATGTTCTCTCCAAATATGTGGTCTGTGTTCGACAGAGTGCAGAACAATCAAGACCGCACAAACAATCATGCCGAGGCCGCTC